GCCTTTGGGGTTTTGTTGGTCCAAGGGTAAAAGGAGGGACCCTTAACAAGGACCCCCAGGTATATATATATATATATATATATATATATATGCTACCCCCCCCCCCCAGGACCTACCTCGAAGCCTCTTCTTGTACTGTGTAGACGACTTTACGACTCCACTCCGGACTAAACTGTAGTATACTGCGTAGTCTTCACTGTCTACGACGACACCACACCGTTCGAACCAAAACAATACCATGAAGTATTGTCTACTGGGCGCCGTATGCTACGCTATTTAACGGCGCGCTCCTCCTGATGTTCCCTTTTTGAACGGTGATCTATAGGGTATATTATAAACTATTGTAAACGGTATCTTAAAAGGTATTCTGGAGGATATTCTATGAGGTATATTTGGGGTATACAACAGATATATTCCATAGGCGGTCTTCTGTAAGGATGGTATTCTATAGGGCTTTCTATAAGGTATTCTAGAGGGTACTCCATAACGTATTGTACAAAAGGCATTCTGCGGCCTATATGTAGGAAGGTATTCTATAGTGTAGGTTTTATGAAATTCATTAAGGTGCGTAGAGAGTGTATTTTTATAAGGAGGTTGTAAGGATAGTTTTTCTGGTTCCTGATTTCTTCATAGGAATCCCTTACCCAAAAGCTGCAATTCAACTAGAAATTCTCAGATATTGGGCTCCGGCTGGCTTTCCATATTTAAAACCCGTATCTATAAGGTACTGTTAGGGTTTTCCATAATGGATTCTAAAAGGTAATCTAAATGGTACTATACAAGTATTCTATATGGCATACAAAAGGTACACAGGATGTATCAAATAAAGGCGTTCTTCTTCAAAGTATTCAACGGGGCATTACGGATGGTATTATATAAGATGTGTGTCGGGTAAATCGGTGGAAAAGGTAGTTTAAAAGGCATTTATAGGGTATGTGCAGCATGTGTTTCAGAAGAGCTCTGTTCTCTGTATGTATCCTTTGCTAGATAAGCATCGATTTTCAAGGAATTTCTACATCCGATATTCCGCAATTCCTTGATATGAACCCATTGCTAAATAAACCACATTCAGCTGGGGAACTCTCAGATCTTGGGTGTACAAGGTGTATATGGAATATAGGAACATTATATAAGGTATTACCGTATTCTACATGAATTTCCTTACGGTTTGTAAAAAGGGTATTCTGTAAGGTATTCTACAGGCATAAATGTCCGTTGCTCAATAAGCTGCAAGAAGCTTGGGCTCCTTCTGATTTATTTTAATTAAATCCCGATCTATACGGTTTTTGCCGGGTATCCCAAAGGGGTTCTCAAGGGCATGCATAAGGTATAAGGGGAGTATCATGCATAGGGCGTTTATAAAACATTCTGTAAAGTATTCCACATGGTATTTTAAAAAGCTCATATAGGGTATATAGGAGGGTATATAGGAGAAAAACAAGGTATTCTATGGGGCAGTCTAAAGGTATCTATAGGGTATCCCAAACTGTAACGTATGAAAAGTATTCTATAGGGTGTATATATAGGACAGGTTTCTATAAGGTGTTTCATGAGATGCAGGGTATTCCATAAGGTATATTATACAAAATATATACTTCATAAACTCTACATGGTACGACCTGAGTATTTTTTCTGAAATCCTGGACAAAGTATTCTATGGGGCAGTCTATAATGTATCTACAGGGTATCCCAAACTGTAACGTGTGAATAGTTTGCTATAGGGTGTATATATAGGACAGATTTCTATAAGGTGTTTCATGAGATACAGGGTATTCCATAAGGTAAATTATACAAAGTATATACTTCATAAACTCTATATGGTACGACCTGAGTATTTTCTGTGAAATCCTGGACAAGGTATTCTATGGGGCAGTCTATACGGTATCTAAAGGGTATCCCAAACTGTAACGTGTGAATAGTTTGCTATAGGGTGTATATATAGGACAGATTTCTATAAGGTGTTTCATGAGATACCGGGTGTTCCAGAAGGTATGTTATATAGAGTATATACGTCATAAACTCTAAATGGTACGACCTGAGCATTTTCTATGAAATCCTGGAAAGGATAAAGGGGGTATTCTATAGTGGATTTGGAAGGATATTTGTTTACAAGTAGGCTCCTGATGTCCACCATGGGAACCCGTTACTCAGTAAGCTATAACTCAGCTGGACATTCGCAAATCTTCGGTTCCGACTGATGTTCCATATCTAAACCTATCTGTACAGTATTTATTTTATTTATGCTCACAAGGACAGGACTGGAGCTGGAAGTACAAGATCATTTGATTTTGATTAGCTGCAGCTTGCTTCATCACACATTTGTTGCCATGCGATCAAACTGTCAAGCACAGCAATCCGCTCCTTAATCTTCACTGCAGGACCGGCCATGTGGCACATAAAAGGGCAAGCCGATATGTTTCGTGAATATTTATATACTTTCCAGCGACCTGGCTGCATTAAAACGCGCATTAAAAAATTAAATTTTAATGCAGCCCGGCCCGTGGAACCAAGAACCAAGAACCAAGATGCCCAGGAGTCTTGAATCCTGAATCTTGGTTCCACGGGCACCGGCCGGGCTGCATTAAAATTTGCATAAAAAAATTAAATTTTAATGCAGCCCGGCCCGTGGAACCAAGAACCAAGAACCAAGATGCCCAGGAGTCTCGAATCCTGAATCTTGGTTCCACGGGAACCGGCCGGGTTGCATTAAAATTTGCATTAAAAAATTAAATTTTAATGCAGCCCGGCCCGTGGAACCAAGAACCAAGAACCAAGATTCCCAGGAGTCTTGAATCCTGAATCTTGGTTCCACGGGCCTGGGTGCATTACAATTTTAATTTTTTAATGCAGATTTAATGCAGCCCGACCAGTGCCCGCGGAACCAAGATCCAAGAATCAAGACTCCTGGGCATCTTGGTTCTTGGTTCTTGGTTCCACGGGCCAGTGTGCATTAAATTTTAATTTTTTAATGCAGATTTTAATGCAGCCCGGCCGGTGCCCCTGGAACCAAGATTCAGGATTCAAGACTCTTGGGAATCTTGGTTCTTGGTTCTTGGTTCCACGGGCCGGGCTGCATTAAAATTTAATTTTTTAATGCAGATTTTAATGCAGCCCGGCCAGTGCCCGTGGAACCAAGATTCAGGATTCAAGACTCCTGGGAATCTTGGTTCTTGGTTCTTGGTTCCACGGGCCGGGCTGCATTAAAATTTATTTTTTTAATGCGGGTTTTAATGCAGCCAGGCCTCTGGTATAGTCATGTTCGTATACACGACTCTTCGTATACCCTATTCCATGTTGCATGTGTGTGCGTGTGTGTGTGTGTGTATGTGTGTGCATGGGTAATGAAGTGTGGTATCATATGTAGACAGACGGGTTTGGAGGTAGGTCCTGGGGGGGGGGGGGGTACCATATATATATATATATATATATATATATATATATATATACCCTTAATATAGATATAGCTATTATATACCCGTTATTATAGCCCATCATAGGGACCCAGGGGTACCCGTTAAGGGTCCCTCCTTTTCCCCTTTGAGTTGGGTTTAGGGCTTGAAAAGACCTACCTTCTTAAGGAACTATATACAGAAACCATAATAAGGAACCCTAAAAGGGTAGGTCTTTTCGGCTACAGGTAGGGCTCTGGGGAGTCCAGCGACTTCTGCCTTGGTGGTTTGGAGGGGGCGTCTCACGGTTTGACGGCAGATTTTACGGGGATATCCCTAGCTTATGGGCCTTCCCTTTCCGGAGTTTATATGGGATATCCCTATCCTAGTTTTTGCTTATGTGCTTTTTTGGGGTCCTATTTAGGGGTTTCGGGTTTAGGGTTTCGGATTTCGGGCTTTTGGGCAGCAAAAGTTAAGGTTTAGGGGTTTTGAGTTTGGAGTCACTTTTAAGGCGGTCTCAAGCTTTTTGAAGATCTTTCTACCCTAAACCCTAAACCTGCCCCCACCCTGTAATAGTGGTATAATAGGAATATAATAGGGCCCTAATATAATTATAGATAATCCTTATAGTCACTATTACAGGTTGGGGGCAGCTTCTAACCCTAAACCCTATAAACCGCCCTGGTTCAGGTTCAGAGTGGTGACTTTTCGGGCCTTCGGATTCTTGCAGGAGTTTTTATCGGGGGTTCTATTCAGAGGACTCAAGGTTGTTGGGGAGGGGCACTTGGAGGATCATGGGACCTAGTAAGTAGGGCTATGAGTACATTTAATTGGGGTTATAAGTAGATGTAACTATGGCTACCTTTCTCATAACCCTACTTACTAAGTCCCATGGTCCTCTAAGTAGATCCTAAACTCAAGATGGGCGCTGATGCTGAGCTGAGAGTCTCCCCCGATCCCAGAACACCCAGGGCTCGGAGCCCAAGCACGCCCACATGGTAGTTTCCGAAAATTACGGGTACCTTATTTCTGGGGGGTCCTGATACCAGGAATCCTACAATTTAGGGTACTACATTAGGGTCCCCTATTTTTGGAAACTCTCCATGAAAAGTGTTTGAGAGTTTGTTTAGAGAGACTCCGGCATTCCCCACAACCCTAAACACCAGACCCCTAAGCCCAGACAGGTAGAGAAGGCTGCTTTCAGAATCCGACTATAAGAATCTAAGCCGATGGTCACCCCCTAGACAACCTTTCAAACCCTGTATGGCCGTATGGCACACCACCAACACTATTAAGACAAAAGCAAGTCTTAAAACCCAAACCCACTATTCATAGGAGGCCAAAAGGGGTTTTAGCCTATGGGGGTTTAGTAGGGATTAGGGTTCCCATACTAGGAATCCTCACCCCCCAAGAATCTTAAACCCCACTTTTAGCCTCCCATCATCTATAGTAGAAGCCAGAAAATTGGAACATCATTATCCTCATGCCCCAAAGGTAAAGTATAAGAGATCCCAGCACTAATCCTCCTAAAGCCATGTTCCAACTTTCTGGGCTTCTACTGTATGGGCACTCGCAGAGCAGGCCATGACCGAGTTGCTTCCCCGCGATGTCATGGCCCGGTTTCAGGACCGATTCTGGGGTGTCTTAAAGGGCCCCTTAAAGGGATCTATAGGGTTCCTTACAGGGATCTAGGATCTATAGGGTTTACTTCAGGTCAGGGTTTAGGGTCTACTTAAAGGATCATGGGACTTAGTAACTAGGGCTATGATTAGGGTAACTATACTTATAGCTACTTGTAACCCCAATTGGGGTACTTATAACCTTACCTGCTAAGTCCCATGAATCTCCAAGAAGGGTTTCCATAAAGCCCTAGCGCTGTTGCTAGAAAGATTTAGGGTCTTTAAGGTTCTGTTTGTGCTGGAAGGGGTTTAGGGCCTGAGGGCAACAATTTTCAAGATTTCGGGGTGATTAAAATGGGAACGCAGGGTTCCGGTGTTGTTGCGGGTTCGAGTTCTGCTAAGGTGCCGACTCCAATTCAGTAGTAGAAGGGACCTCACGAGTTTGCGCGCGGGATCTGGCATTGGCGATCAACATCACCGGCACATACGGCGTCTCTTGGAAAGCATGGCTCCATGATAAACGCCTTTACAACCACGAGCCTCATGAATTGCATAAGGCTTGTTTCATAAGGACCCTTAGGGGGGTAAGGGGGAGGGGGGGTAGGGGGCGTTCATGCCCATCATAAGCACCTTCTATCGCCTAATGTAAGGAAGTATAGTCCCCTACCCCAACCCCCCTACCCCCCTAAGGGCTCTTTTGATTTCTTGATATGTTCAAATCTGATTCCATGCCCTTCGACTCCGAGACAGCGCGAAAGGCTTCGGGGTTTAAGGTTTAGGGGTTGAGAGTTCAGGGGTTCAGGGGTTTAGGTTTTGGGGGGGGGGGTTTGGAGTTTAGGGTTTAGGGGTACATAAGGTCTAGGGGTTTAGAGTTTAGGGTTCAGGGTTCATCATACCCCTCCAAGGTTCAACGAGTTAGGAACCCCTAAAAACCCTGCAGCCTAAACTGGTGTCCGGCTTCGGTGGCTCTGATGATTTTCTGGGGACTCGAATTCTCGCAGAGCACACAGGGTTTAGGGTTGAGGGCCATGGGGTTTAGTGCATTTAAAAGCCGTGGACCGTGAGCTTGAACGCCTAAATCACAAACCCCTGGCTCTGGACAGAAACCCGAGACCCTACAAGCCTGAACTCTGAAGAACATGCCCTGAAGCCTTCCGCCCTGCAGCGCTAAACTTTAAAGTCCCTACCTTAAACTACCAAATCTTACTTTTTTGTAGGTTCTTATCAGAAACTCAATATAGAATTTATAGGGACCCTACAAAAAAGTAGGTTTTTGTAGGTTCAGGTAAGAATCACACTCACGAAGCCCTTCCCCCTACAAACCCAAGCTCAATGTCCGAGAGCGTTTAATCTACTTAGTAAGTAGGTAGTAAGTAGACTTATAAGTACCCTAAAAGGGACCCTAATTGGGGTTATGGTACTTATAAGTCCCTAAAACAACCAGTTACTAAGTCCGCCGACCCTCCAAGCTCTTCCAGAGGAATGCCTCATTACCGGTGCGCCGACCGAAGAGAAGGACACGAGTACGAGACCGGCTTTATTCAAGCAAAACCACGGCACATTGGGCTGAGGGGTTCGGATTTCGGGTTCGGGGTTTGTAGGGTTTAGGGGTTTGTAGGGTTTAGGGTTTGGGGTTTAGGGGTTTGGGGTTTAGGGTTTGGGGTTTAGGGTTTAGGGTTTTAGTGTTTAGGGTTTTAGTGTTTGGGGTTTAGGGCTTCGGGGTTTGGAGTTTCGGGGTAGGGTTCGCAGGTGTTGGGCTGAAGGGGTCGGAAGAGCGAAGGGTTCTTGCTTGTGGGCTCGGGCTGCCTTCAGATTCATTCAAGTGGGTACCCACAGGCTCCATAGTAGTTCCTTTTTGGGCTTCATATTTAGAATCCTATAAGGTAATCCCAAAAAGGAACTACTATGGAGCCTCTGGGTAGTTGTCAAAATTATGGTCCCTTTTGGGGTACCCTTAGACAATAGGTGCCGCATTATAATAGGGACCCAAAAAGGGACCATAATTTTGACAACCACCCAAGTCTATACAGGGTTTACGGTTCAAGGTTTAGGTATGCGTGACAGGCTTTCCTTTTGAGCGTTTAGGGTCGCGGTTTCCTTGCAGGTTTCGGGGGTGAGCAAAGCACAGTGCTGAGGGCTTTCCTTCATCATCGAGCACTTAAAGAAGACTAGGCGCAACAATCGCAACATGCTATGCTAGAACACAGAATACCCTCAACCCCTAAAGATCAAAAACCTTAAACACTAAACCCTGAACTCATAGGTTCAAGAGGCTAATCCCTAAACCCTAAGGTTGTTTCAAGAAAATCAAAAAGACCCCAAAGGTTCGGGGTAAACCACCCCAGAAGCCCCTTTCTTCACAGAGAGCCCGACGCTCGAAGCAGGTGTCGTCAGGCCTAGGAGACGTTCCCGGATTAGGGGGTTTAGGGTTTGGGGGGGTTAGGGTTTAGGGTTTAGGGGGTTTAGGGATTAGGGGGTTTAGGGTTTAGGGATTAGAGGTTTAGGGTTTAGGGATTAGGGAGTTTAGGGTTTAGGGTTTTAGTATGCCTACGGGTGATGATGCAAATCCTGCATTACCCAATAATACCCTCGGGATCTGAGGACTCATATATTAAGGCTTTTGGGCCCAAAGGCCATACTATATAAGGCTTTTGTGCTATTGAATAAGGGATATACCATAGTTCCACAATATACTCCTTGTGGTGGGTAAGGAAGGAAAGGGGACCCTTCTTAACCCTTCTTTTGGCTCTCTTAAAAGGGACCTTATATGACCTTATTGAGAGGGTCTATATCCTCAAGGGTCCCCCTCGTCCTAACTCCTAAGTATCTCTTCAGGTTTATAGGGTTTGGGGAAGTGTTATCTAGGACCCAGAGTAGGCCCTTATTCCCTTTTCTTGGCTTTAGGTTACCTTATACTTATACCCCCTTTAAACCACAAAGGGCACCCTGTCTATTCCTAGGTTACTCTTGGGTCTTGCTATAAATGCTTATGCCATACCGACCCCTACGCCTTAAGGCAACCCGAACCCGAACGTCTCTAAGCCCAGGGTTTACCTTTTAAAACACCAGAGCAACAATGTAGGAGCCTTAATAATTCGAAAACGGTTTTGGGGCCCATTATACTGTAGTAATAATAAGGAACACCCCAAAATAGTATAGGAAATTATGTAGGCCCTGCTATTCCTGAGAGGACCAGAAGGTCATTGCCGACACGCTCTTCACGTGGGCACGGGAGCGCGGCGCGATCGACTTTTCCCACTGGTTCTTCCCGCTTCGAGGCTCTTTTCCGGGCGGGTATTGAAAGGCTTTAAGGGCAAGGGAGTGTTTAGGGTTTAGGGGTTTAGGGTTTAGGGGTTTAGGGTTTAGGGGTTTAGGGTTTAGGGGTTTAGGGTTTAGGGGTTTAGGGTTTAGGGGTTTAGGGTTTAGGGGTTTAGGGTTTGGGGTTTAGGGGTTTGGTGGGGTGCAGCTAAGGGAAGGGTATAGGGTTTAGGGAGTTTCGGGCTTGGGAGTTTAGGGTATTGGGATGAAGGTAGGTGGGATATTCCCACCATACGAGTCCTTGTATAAGGGATCCTTCATCCTACCTTTTGAGGCCTCGGAGTTTAAGGTTTAGCCCTAAGTGACTTACCTTCTTGAGGACTTGTACAAGGAAATGCTCATGAGGAGCCTTAAAGTGAGGTATTGTAGGATTCAGGTAGAGTTCAGTGTTGAGGACTTAGGGTTTAGGGGTATCGACCCTTTTTTCAGGTACGAACCGGGGTTGAGGGGACCTGGGGCGCTGAGCCGCCTTGAGATTCAGGGGTTTCGGCGGCTCTGATATTTTCAGGAAAGCTCTCTGTGGCCTTTGGGGCTTTCCCTAAACCCCAAACCCTAAACCGTCGCTTCGGGGTTTGAGGGTTTAGGGTTTCGGGTGCAGGGCTTCAAGGCCTTTGGCAGGGCAAGCGGTTTAGAGCCTTAGTGCTGTCCATGTCAGTCGGATGAGGCTTGGTTTCGCGATTTCTAGACTCCAGACCCCACCCCCCAAAAGAGGTTCATGGATAGTTACAGGCAGGGTACGTGCCTCAAGCCGGGCCGTTTTCGAAGATACCTTGTCCTAGTGTCACTGTCAGTATCCTTGAAGGGGAAGACATAAAATCCTAAACCCTAACCGGCCCTAAACCCTAAGCCCTAAACCCCCCCAACCCGAAACCCCAGATCCGACTCCCTAAACCCTAAACCCGAAGAACTTGCAGGGCACCCAAGAACAAGACATAAACCCAACCCCCCCCCCCCCCCCCCCTCAAAAAAAAAAACAAACAGGCACGCAAGAACAGGGAAGTACTGGGGTAGCTGTCGAAGCGGCGAGGCGGAGGTGGTGCTGTGGGTGGAATGCTGGGTGCATTCAAGCAGGACGGGTTTGTGGTTCGGTATGGGGTTTAGTATAGGGTTTAAGGTTTTTAGGGTTTAATATAGGGTTTAGGGTTTTTCTGGTTTAGTGTAGGGTTTAAGGTTTTTAGGGTTTAGTATAGGGTTTAGGGTTTAGGGATGAAAAGCTGGAAAGATGGCTGTTGCATAGCTTCATTCCCCCCCCCCCCCCCACGCTTCAGCTCCAAAGTATATGAGGCGGCTTTCCTGTAACAGAGAGTTATTTAAAGGATCATGGGACTTAGTAACTAGGGTTATGATTATAGGGTAACTATACGTATAGCTACTTATAACCCCAATTAAGGTACTTATAACCTTACTTACTAAGTCCCATGACATCCTCCAAGTACGCCAGACCGCCTTAAGTCTGTAAGGGGTTGTAGAGTTTTCTTATACGTTCATAGGAGGCCAAAAGGGGTTTTAGCCCATGGGGGTTTAGCAGGGATTAAGGTTCCCATAATAGGGCTCATAAGGAATCCCTACCCCAAGAATCTTCAACCCCCTTTTGGCCTCCCATCAACGGTTACGTGCTTTTTGAGCATTTCTTGGGCTTTTGGAGAAGCGGGACATTCCTTTAATTGTAGACGGATCCGGATTCTTCAACCTTTTTTGGATTCTGGACTGAGGCTTTGAAAATTTTATCGCCCTTGTAACGGCCAAGAGGTTTCAGGGCCGCTAGGCACTTAAGGTATAGGGGCTTAGGGTTTAGGGCTGAGGGCTTTGGGCTTGGGGACCAGGGTTTAGGGTTTAGGGATTTCAACCCCGAAGTGGTAATAAGGATAGTGCTGGGTAGGTCCTATATCGGCTTCCTGCAGTCGGTACGCGTGACAGCCGTCAACCCCCAACCAGTGCTCGGCATCGGCATCCTGCTTGCTACCCCACTGCTAAACCCTAACAAACCCTAATAAACCACAGTTGATCCTAAACCCTACACCCTAAACCCTTAACCTTAACAAACCCTAAACCCTAAACCCCAATAAATCCTAAACCCTATGGGATCTGGCGCTTGGTGCTCATGGACTGCACCCGGCTCAACGGGGCTATCTTCGCCTTGCAAGTCCCTAGGATTTTGCACAAGCGGGCCATCCTGATCGCACTTGGCTTGGGCCCCGAATTTTCGGAAACTCCCGGCCGTAGGGACCCCAAAAGCACTTTGGAGACCTCCCATGGCCGTTGCCACATCATGCCCAAGTGGAGGCCGTCCACGGTGATGCTATCACTGTGGTCCCACAATCATATGGACTCTTCTCCACGTCCACCCTGGCTGAACAGCTTTCCACGGCCAGTGGGCGGGACTTAGAATGGGCGCGTGCCCTCGCATATGCAGAACGGGCCTGGTGCTCACGGAGGCCGAGCACTTCCTCTTTCATGTCCCTCCAGAGCGCAGGCATCAGGTCCGCACTGATATTGCTGCAAGGGTTGTCTCGCCCTATGCCCTATCCACGCCCTAAGCCCTGAACCTATCCCCTATATTATATAAACCCTGTACCTTACGCCCTATGCCCTAAATCCTAGGTAACCCTTAAAGCGGGATACGGTTTAACTTCACCGCAAACCCCAAGAGCACCCTGTGCCCTGTCTAACCCCTTAAAACAGGATTCTCTGATGGATCTCCTAAATCGTGAACCTTAAACCCTGAAAGTTAAACCCTAAACCCTAAACCCTATAAACCTTAAACCCGAACTCTAAACCCTAAACCCTACACTCTAATCCCTAATCCGTTAACCCCAAACCCCAGACCATGATCCCTAAACCTTAAATCTTAAGCCCTAATCCCTAAACCCTATAAACCTTCAACCCCAAACCCTATAAGCCTTAAACCCTGAACCCTAAACCCTGAAAGCAGGACCCTTAAAACCCCTAAACCTTAACCCCTAGCAACCTACTTACTTTTTTTAGGAGCAAAAAAATCATATTAGGGAACCCTGAAAAGGTAGGTTCCTTAGGGTCCAGGTAAACCTGAACCTCCATAACCCTCAAAACAGGATACTTTGATGGATCTCCTAAACCCTGAACCGTAAACCCTAAACCTTGAACCCTAAACCCTAAACCCTAAACCCTAAACCCTTTAAACCCTGAACCTTAAACCCTAAACCTTGAACCCTAAACCCGAAACCCTACAAACCCTAAACTCTAAACCCTGGACCCGAAGTTTTCAACCCCCCAAAACAGGACACTATGAATAACCCTTAAGACAGGATACTTTGATGGATCTCGAGTTCTCCTCGAAGTTCACGACTAAGCCGATGAAGGCTCGGTTTGGGGGTTATTGTAGAGACCCTTTAGGGGTGTAGGGGTTTAGGGGTTCAGGGTTGAGGGTTTAGGGTTTAGGGGTGTAGGGCGAGGGGGGGGGTAGGGGGCCTTAATACCTATAAGAACTTAATAAGGCCTGTTTAATGAAGTATAAGGCTCCTTTTAAAGGGATCTGTATGGATTTCAAGGACCCTTCAGGGGTCTTTCGGTCTTCAGGGCTTGGGTTTTTAGGGTTATAGGGTTTGGGATTCAGGGTTTGGGGCTAGGGGTTTAGGGCCTAGGGTTTTAGATTATAGAGTTTAGGGCTTGAACTTTGAGGTTTTAGGATTTAGTCTTATAGGGTTTAGGGTTCGGGGCTTGGGGTTTAGGCTTAGGTTATAGATTACAGACTGTAGAGTTTAGGGTTACAGGGTTGAGGCTTTAGGGTTCAGTCTTAAAGGGTTTAGGACCAGGCAAATTGGGGTTTAGGGCCAAGGGCTATAGATTATAGAGTTTTTCCGGTTTCAGGGCTGAGGTCTTATTGTTTATTTAGTCTTGTAGGGTTTAGGGTCTGGGGCTTGGGGCTTAGGGCCTATAGAGTTTAGGTTAGAGGTCTTGCGGGTTCGGGTTTAATGATATAGGATTTGGGATTTGGGGTTTGTGGCTTAGGGTTTGAGGTTTTGGGGTTTAGGGTTTAGGGAAATAGGATTTGGGATTTGGAGTTTGGGGCTTGGGGTCTAGGGCCTAGGGTTTAGTGGATATAAGGGCTCCCACTTGTCAGGTTAGTGCCCAGGTTCAAGCTGCGGAAAGTGTTATGTGACCCAGAGGGTCCAAGTACCCAAATAGTGTGTTTTAGGTCCCCCAAACCATGCAGAGCATGGATTTTGGGACCTAAAACCCTGCTATTTGGGTACTTGGGCCCTCTGGGTGAGGATGCATCCTCACGAGAAGCTTAATCTCAACATCCAAGACCCCAAACTTTGTTGAGCCTGTGAGACCTTAGCCGGAAGATTAGCCTTCAGAATTGCCCTAGACTGTAGGCCATGACCTGCACAGTATTCCTAAACCTTAAACAAAGCATTCAACCACGGGGGCGTAAACCCCAAACCCTGTAGATCCCTTTAAAGGAGCCCTTAAAACAGGGACCCTACGTGAGAGATTGCCCTCAAGGCCTAAACCCACACCCTAAACCCTATAGATCCCTTGAAGGAGCCCTCAAAAAGGACCTTAAGCCCAAAGGGTCCTATGTACCGATATAGTAGAATGCAGGGTTTCCGTGTTAGGAGTTACTATTATGACTTAGGGAGGTATGCCCCATAACAGTACATAGGACCCTTTGGGAAGGAACCCTTAAAATCAAAGGAGAAAAGGAGGGACCCTTAATGGGGACCCCTACCCTATAATGGGCTATATCATGGGTATATAATGGCTATATTAAGGGTATAGTACCTAGGGGTCCTTATTAAGGGTCCGTCCATCCTTTTACCCTTGGATAACCTAAAACCCTCGGCCCTTAACCCCTAGCCCCAAACCCTGAATCCCAAACCCTATACATAACTCTAAAAACCCAAGCCCTAAAGCCCGAAAGACTCCTGAAAAGATCCTGGAAATCCCTACAGATCCCTTTAAAAGGAGACCTAAAAAGGGACCCGCGCTTCTCTCGAACGCCCCCAACAGCCCTCCCTTGCAAATCCTATATCCACTAAACCCTAGGCCCTAGACCCCAAACCCCAAACCCCAAATTCCCAAATCCTATATCCCCAAACCCTAAACCCCAAAACCTCAAACCTAAAACCCTAAGCCCCCAAAAGCCCTTTACAGAATCCTTATAAATCCCTTTAAAGGGGCCCTTAAGGAACCCATTATGTTACTAAGCCCCCCGACCCCCCCAAGTGCCTTGCAAAAGGCGTGCCTCCCGGCGGAGCGCCTGTTTCAGGGCGTTCCTTGGCTCTTCTTCAGGAACTTCTTACGGTTGATGATTTATAAATCCTGCATTACCCATAATAAGGAATATACCATAATTCCCATAGTTTCGGGTTCTGAAGGTTCAGGAACTTCTTAGGGGTACTTAGAAACTGGGTTGTCCTTTGGGATCTTTTTAATTTCCCCTACTGTTTTTTAGACAACCATAGTAGTAAATAAGGAGTTTCTTAGGGGTACGTTGAAATACCCCCAGGGTCCAAAGTACCCAATAATGAGGTGCTCTGTTTTAGGATAGTAGTTATGTAGAAATACTGTTGATGATAGAAATCCTGCATTACCTTAAGAACCCTAAACACGGGGAATTACGGTATATTCCTTATTATGGGTAATGCAGGATTCATATCATCAACCGGACTTGTTTCATCTGTGGTTCCTTTAATCTTCAAGAAACATCCAAAAATGATGATTTTTGCTAGGGGTCTAAGTGGAATTGTTTTAACTTTACCACAATAGGGATCTTTGAGGGTTCCTTCAATGATCTATAAGGGATTCCTATAAGGGTTCAGGAGTTTATTTTTCAAGTTACCATAAGAGGATCTACAGCAAACAGCATGGTCTCCTTATCATGGACCTAAGGGTCCAAAGGACCCAATAATTAGGTACTCGGGTTTGGGATAGCAGTTATGTAGGTTACTTACTATATCTTTGAGAGTATATGATACTTGGATACTTGGAGCCTTAGGGTGGTATTCTTACATAGTGAACGGGGGAACTTTAAACCTTCTGGCCTTATATATTAGCTCTATCTTAGAAAGTTTGAACTTTTTGGGGCCCGGTTGTTGAAGAAGAGAGCCTAAGCCCCGAAACCCTAGACCCGCAACCCTAAACTCTAAGCCCCGAAGCCTTAAACCATAAGCCCTGAAACCCTAAACCCTAAGCCCCGAAGAAGAGAGTATAACTACCCTAAACCCTAATCCTTGTAAGCCTTATGGAACCGTCAAAGGAACCCTCAAAGGAACCCTCAAAGGAACCCTTAAAGGAACCCTTAAAGGAACCCTTATAACACTACTTATAAGTATTTAACAAGAAACCCAGGAGACGGATGGCTCCTCCTTCCCCAATGGCGGCGCCTCGGGCTTTGAGGTTTAGGGGTTTAGGGTTTTGGGATTTTTTTTAAACTTTTGAGCTTTGGGGTTTAGGGTTTTGGGGTGTGGGGTTTTGGGGATTTCGGGGTTTAGGGTTTATTGTTTAGAGTTTTATGGTTTAGGGCTCCTCCTTCCCCAATGGCGGTGCCTTGGGCTTTGAGGTTCAGGGGTTTAGGGGTTTATGGGTTTAGGGGTTTGTTTTTTTGGATTTTGTTTTTTTTGGGTTTTGGGTTTAGGGTTCATATTTTAGGGTTCAGGGTTTTGTGGTTTTTGGGTATAGTCATAGGTATAGGGTTTAGGGTTCAGGGCTCCTCCTTCCCCAGTGGTGGTGCCTTGCGCTCTGAGTTCGCGGTTGTGTGGATGTACGTAAGGATATCATAAGGATTTGTTGGTGTCGTAAAGGGTCCTGTACGATTCGACAACGGTTCTATACGAGCATGGCTGTGCACGATGGTGTTGATGTTCTGTGTTTTTTCCCGGTTGTTGGGGATTCAATTCGGGCGTTTTTTGGGTTTAGGTGCTTGAGCTGCGCAGACCTCCCGGAAGTTGAAAATGAAGGACGGGCCTGAGTCCCCTGAAAAACGGCATGCCAGCCTGAAGCAGGGCTTTGGTCCAGGTGAATGGTTGGGGCTTATCTGCCTTCGTGCCATCACCTTTCTGCGGTATGCTTCCAGCAGGCGCGAAACGGTACATTGCCGAAATGGTATGTCCGACGTCCGGTAAGCCTCGCAAGAGGAGTTGCTTGCTTTTGGCCGATGGCACGAGAACCTATGAAGTGCCGGTCCGAGTGCAGCAAGGCTTGTTGGTCCGACCTACGCTGCATTTGGCCCAGGATCAAGGCATCTCCTCCTGGTACTCCGGCGGTTTTTTGACTCAGGGACCGATTTTCGTGGCACTGTCACCTGGGACCTATGCCATCGCCTGATCAACGACTTGGCGGACAGGATCAGCATGCTCCCCTCTTTCTGGTCTGCACTATATTTGGAACCCCTTAAACCCCAAACTTTACAAGCCGCTAAACCCTAAACCGCCATTGTAAGCCCTGGACCTCCATTTGCTGAACCCTCCGTGCAGGACTTCGTGTGACGCACTCGGCCGCGGCTTTCACCACTTGGGACCGTGCAAGCCCACCCTTTGTGACGTGCTCCGGCAGTTTCATTTAGTGTTGAGGGTTTCGTAGGGGCTAGGATTTAGTAACAGGGTTTAAGAGTGTTGTGCGGGTGTGGGTGCGAGGATGGGTTTACTATAGGGTTTAATTTGAAACGCTGCGCGTCGTCCGCCTCCGCCCGGCTGTACGCGCATGCGGCGAGTGGCTACTATCTGCAGTAGGCTTAGAATTTCCTGTTTGAAACTCGCTTGGTACTGCAGCCTTAAAGGCGAGCCCCAACACATAAAGATGCTACATTGCAGTCCCGTGTCGTCGAAAACTCCACGGGGCGGGAGGAGAGGGGGGGGGGAGGGGTGAAGGCCGGCCAACAACCAGAAACGAAGAAAATTGGGTGGGACTGCCTACAGAAGACCAAAATCCACTGGAGAAGGCGAAAATTCACCGCCGGACCTTGGGGCTCATCGACACGTTTCCATTTTTTAGGGGGGTGGGGGGGGTGGCACCCTTTTTTTGGGGGTGGGTCACTGGGGAGGGGATAAAGAGGTGGGGAATAGAGGAATCCGAATAGGAACCTCTGACCGCTTCGGCCCGGGCCGAGGCGAATTGATTATGATAGTTTAGGGCAAACGCGTCGAGGTGTGCTATGCCAGGCGTTGGCGTGTGTAAATTTTGGTCGGATTGTTTGGATTGCCGTTTATGCATTTTTGCTCGTGCACGAGGAGCCAGAGTAGGCCCTTATTCCCTTTTTCAGGGTTTCGGTTACCTTATAACCCACTTTAACCCAAAAAGGGCACCCTTTTTATTCCTAGGTTACTCTGCGGTCTGGGAGTTTCCGAAAACAGGCGACCCTAAATACTAGGATTCCTAGTATAAGAACCCCCGAAATAAGGTACCCCTAATTTTTCGGAAACTCTAAACCCTAAACCCTTTATAGAACCCTTATAGATCCCTTTAAAGGAGCCCTTATAGATCCCTTTAAAGGTACCCCTAATTTTCGGAAACTCCGGTCTAGTGTTTTTGATTGCCCCTACCATCAGGAGCTCAGTAGTTTCGGCTTTGGAAACGAAGCAACCTCTGTATACACTATTATGCGCAACTTCGAAGTGGCGTATGTTCTTTCCACGAGTTCTCCGAAAGCTCTGGGGTTCTAGCCAAAACGAAACGTTACACACTTGAATGGTTGTCAAAACTGTGGTCCCTTTTTGGGTCCTTAATATAGTACGGCACCTAATATTTAGGGTGCCCAAAAAGGGGCCATAATTTTGACAACTACCCACTTGAAGGCTGGCATTTCAAGTTTTGGGATCAGGAGTCTCTTACAACCTCTTCGGAATCACAGGCAGGACCTTAAACCCATCACCATCACGCACACCCCAAAACCCTGAGCCCTGCACCCGCCACACTCACGGCTTTCGGGCATGGAAAGGTGTCGAAACAAGTAGCAATGTTGTTGCTCCTTGCTATGGTTATAGTATAGTATGCCCCAAAAGTCTATTGCAATCAATAAGGCCCCTAGCACCCTGAAAGTACCCTTTATAGAACCCTTTCAAAGAATCCTATTCCAATTATCACGGCCTTAGTTAAAAGTAGATCCACCCCAACTTTCCAACCCTAAAACCTAAACCCTAAACCGTAGAACCCTAAATCCCAAACCCCCATCAGCACCCCCAAATACTCCCTTAAAGGGCTCCAAATTTTCCCATTAGGGGGCTACAATACGGGGTAGTTGGGGGTCAAGGTAAACCCCAAACTTAAAACCTTGTCCTAGGGGTACTTAGAAATAAGTTTGAATTTTTTGTTATTATAATCCCTAAGAAACTAGGGTTCTAAGTTCAGTATAGTTGTCTCCATCCGAGGAACAAGACGCTGTACATCCCCTGCGCCGGCCTCGGGAGAAGAACTGTCTGGTTCTTAGTAGGGAATGGGGGAATGGATCCCTGTAGTAGTCGTTATGTAATCCCCAATGATAGTCTCCATAATCCATGCCCCCATTCTCCACTGCGCACCAGACAGAAAGGGCCTCCAAAGGTGGGATGCAGGTAAGCAGAAGGGATCCTCAATCCTAATATATAGGGGCCTTAGTAATTACCTATGCTATGTTGGGGGGGTTCCTTATTTCGATTAGAGTCTTTTGGGCCCCAAAACCCTATGTTTCATTATTAAAGGCCCCTATATTACGTACCTTTTTCCCAGCTGTTGACCAGGTCGGGGCTTTAGGGGCTCGTGGGGGTGTGGCTGGTGATCTTCATGTGGGTAGTTGTCAAAAATTAGGGTCCCTTTTTGGGTCCTTATGAGAATACGGCACCATATATTCAGGGTACCCAAAAAGGGATCATAATTTTGACAACCACCCATGTCTTTCAACTGTTGTCTTGCGGTTTGTGGTTCGGGTTGAGTGAGATTGGTTCAGGTGCCTTCATCACCCACTTTGGGAAGTGCATCGATGAGAAGACGCCTCTGTTGCGTTCGATGGACGCTGTGAAGACTCACGGATACCGGGCCATGACTTATCTTGTTGGGAGTAGGATATCGCTGGCTTTTCAAACATGCTGTCATCACCTACTCCTGGCCATCGTGTGTACCTGGGTCCCAACCACCCTGCCTTTCCCAGAACTTTACAACGAGCTGATAGCAAGGAGCTATTTGGGGTCCATCCTAGAGGCCAGAAGGTAACCCCAAACCGAGCACCTTAAATCCTAAACCCTAAACTCCTAACTCCTATAAACCCTAACTATTAACCCCTAAACTCTAGCCCCCCAAAACCCCAAAACCCCCAAAACCCCTGAACCCGTCAACCCCAAACCCAAAACCTTAAATCCTAAACCACTCGGACCTTTCGGGGGCACTGGAGAAGAGGAGCTAAGCAAAAGCAAAACCCTAAAGTAAAAGCCAGAAAGTGGAATATGATTATCCTAAAACCCTTTATGGTAAACTATAGGGTATCCTACCCTGAAACCATATTCCAACTTTCTGGAGTTCCCTTTAAATCGTTTAACCTGAGCCCGGCTTCTTGGAAGAGCTGAAGCCGAATTCACAGAGCCAGAGTCTACTTAGCTCTCCAATACCCAACCTTTAAACTTTTTGGGTTTATAGATTTTCCAAATTTTTTGGGTTTATAGATTTTAGTAGTAATCTGAAAGTTTAACCTTTTATTTCCTTGGCTTATTGGGGAAGTAAGTCCAGGATGCCCAGTAGTACCATAGCGGTTAGGACTCATACGGGTGGTTGTCAATATTAGGTCCCTATTTGGGGTCCTTATTATAATACGGCACTTAATATCCCAAAAAGGGGCCAGGGTTTATAGAGTGTTTAGGGTTTGAGGGTTTAGGGTATAGGGTTTGGGTTTGTGAGAGATCCCTTGTTTTTGTATTTATAGTTTTAAGCATGTTGCCTACATGTTTTAGCGCGTGCTCCCATGTGAAGGATTCCTTGTATCAACGTAATACAGGGGGTCGAAATAATCAGTAGTACTTTAGAAGCTGCCCCCACCCTGTAATAGTGGTATAATAGGAATATAACAGGGCCCTAATATAATCCTTATAGCCTTACAGGGTGGGGGCAGCTTCTAAGTAGTACCATTTCTTGGGGTTCCTGGTTACAACCATGGTAAAGTCAGAGTAGTGGCGTATACCCCACAACCCCGCTCGAAATTCGGCCCCGATATTACGCAGAAGTCAGCCGCGGGTTTTCTTCGTTTCTGATTGGTGGCCTAAGACTCCACGCTGAAGCGATTCAGGGTTAAGGGCGCTAGGGTTTGAGCATGCGCATTTTAGAGTGCACAGTTCAGAGTTGGGTCTTACTTGGAGGTTCATGGGTAGTTATAAATAGGGTTATAAGTAGGGTAACTACACTTATGACCCATTTTAGGGGACTTATAATAACCCCACTTATAGTTATAACTACCCATAAACCTCAAAGTAGGGTTTGGGGTTTTGTTGAATCTGGTTGAAGCCCGCCTCTCTGGAGGTGTAGATGGTAGCCAGAAGCCAGAAATCCGCTATGTACCCACGCTAAGCCCCCTGCAACTTACCTGGACCCTTCAATGTAGTTCTGTTCCTGAAATGAAAACTTAAAACCCTAAACTCGGAGCTCTTAAACTGTAAATCTTCTACACCCCTTCCAAGACGGTTGCATGCTGCGGCATACATATGTGGGAGATGACGATGGCTCTGCAGTGCAGTGTAAAGACGCAGACACCGAAATGGATGCGCAATCCTATCGGTTGCGACAATTGCGGTCGAAGATACCGGTTCTGCTGAACTTGGATGAAACCTACATCCCCTGGTGCCTGGCTCCCTTGCTGACAACATTCTTCGCAAGACCAGAGTGACGGGCGCTACTATCTGGGAGTTTCAGGAAGCATCAGATCCGAGCACAGGCTCAGAGTAGGATTCAGGGTTTAGGGTTTAGCGTATTGGTCTTAACTCCCAACAACCCCGGCTGCAAAATGACTCCTAAATTTCGTAAGTTTTCGGTTAGCAAACATACCTGCTGGCTGAGAAAGGGGTATCATTAAGCAAAAGCTCCGAACTAATTACGGTTGATGATATAAATCCTGCATTATCCTAAGGACCCTAAGCTATGGGAATTGTGGTATATTCCTTATAATGGGCAATGCAGGATTTATACCTTCAGCCGTAATAATTAGCCTGGAAGTCCTTCGCAATGCCGATACAGCACCTGGAGGATCATGGGACTTAGTAAGTCGGGTTATATGTACCTTAATTGGGGTTATAACTAGATACAACTCTCAGTTACCTTACTTATAACCCTATTTCCTATGTCCCATGGTCCTCTGAGCAATCAGACAGGCAGTTCGAACTCGCGCGAGACTTCAGTCAGGGAGTTCCCTAAACCTGGGTTTGGAGTACCCTACTTGAATACTTTGTTTGGGGTACCTGTTCCTTAAAGGAGCCATTATGAAATGAAAGTCTATAATTTTTTCTCCCTGGTTACTTCAAAGTCCAGTAAACTAACCCTGAGGGTCCATGTACCCTGAGTTGGAGACTCCCTGGCCCTATACCTATATGGCGACTGCTTTACGACCAAAGTGTATACTGTTTGATTACATGGACCCTTAGGATAAGGGTGCGGATGCACATCTGCTTCACACACGTGGAGATGTAGGAAAGCCTATACCACCAGTATCCGATGTTTTATAATTTGCCGCTTTATCTTCGCGTTCTGACTTACCCAGGCGGCGAGGAACATGAGCCCATTTCTTAGCCGAACTCTGCGTGAAGATCTCGACTCTGAACGCGTACTTACCACAACTGCTTCATCGATGTCATCGGCTTGTTGCTTCGGCTGACCCACGTATGTAAGCATGACAAGGGTGTAAGTGTTGTACGTGCCACTTGGCATAGCGCATGCACTTACAATGACGCATTTGCAAGCATGAACCGACAGCCGTGCTGCAAAACGTCGCCATGAACACCGGTTTCTTTATGGGGTACTTCGGGTTTCGAGCAATTTCTATTTATCACCGATTTGCAACATCGTGGTCGACCTCGCTAGCGGCGAGGCAGCAGGTCGTCGCTAGCGTTTGCCTGCCACTATCCTGCTCCAGCTCGTTTTGTTTCTGCTCCAGCTCGTTTTGTTTCTGCTCCAGCTCGTTTTGCTTCTGCTCCAGCTCGTGTTGCGTCTGATCGAGCTCGTTTTTGCTTCTGCTCCAGCTCGTTTTTGTTTCTGCCTCAAGCTCGTTTCTGCTTCTGCTCCAGCTCGTTTTTGCTTCTGTTCCAGCTCATCTCTGCTTCTGCTCCAGCTCGTCCTGCTTCTGCTCCAAATCGTTTTTGTTTATAGGGCCTTTAATAATTCGAATAGGGTTTTGGGGCCCACTATACTATACTATAATCATAAATAGGGATCCCCCAAAACAGCATCTGTAATTATTTATTTAAGCCCCCGTAGTCACCCTGGTGCCCTGCTAGACCGGCCTGACTAGAGTATATCGGCAGCCGCCTTTTCGAAGTCCGCGGTTCGTCTCACTTGAATTATTGCTTCGAGTTCCTTGTTTGTCATTAATTTGCTACTATACTACACCCTGATTGACACTTTATTGCTATACTATACCCGTATTAACAGTTGACTACTATACTCTCCCCGTATTAATAATTTACCACCATGCTATACCCGCATCATAGTCTACTAATGTACTATACCTGCATCAAGAATTTACTACTGAGCTATTCCCGCAATAAAAATTTACTACTATACTATGTTCATAGTTTACTACTATCACTATCAAGGCCGCTATGTTATCCGAGGACTGCGGCTGTTGAAGGCTACTGGACTCGGGAAGGATGCGCAGACCATTCACAGCTCTGCGGTCGCCATAAGGGTTTGAGGGTGTTTTATGAGGTTTTGCAGCAAGGCTCTCTTGCAGTTGTTCAAGGTTGTTCACGCATTGTACTGGGTTCAATATTCTTTCGTTGAAGCTTTACGAGAGTTTGGGTCTATAGGGATCCCAAGTATGCTCCGATTCTAAGCTTTTGGACAAGTAATTATACTCCAACTCTAAGCTTTTGGACATACATACACACATACATGCATACAGGTGTATGTGACTGTCTGCTTGTCTCGTCTCGTATATGCCTATAGGTATGTATGACTGTACGTATGCATATCTGTTTATGTGTGTAACCAAAGATGCACATACGAAGTTGAGAGGTTTCACTCCTTATTTTGTCTAGAAGGGCTTCCAAGAACAGCACGTACGAATGTCTACCTTAGCCTACCAAACCCTAGGTTTCTGTAGGTTCTGATTATAAACCCGAATATGGAATTTTATAGAGACCCCGCAACAAAGCAGGTTCTTGTAGGTTAAGGTAGGGTGTTTACCGGCGAGTTCAGGTGTCAGGTTGGGGTTGGGGGTTGCGGTTCTCCCATCGCCTCTGGGACTACAGACTGTAAGACTCTACGGCATACTTGGAGGACCATGGGACTTAGTAAGTAGGGTTATAAGTAAGGTAACTATAGTTATATCTATTTATAAGCCCAATTAAGGTACTTATTACCCTACTTACTAAGTCCCATGATCCTCCAAGTATGACATAGGACTCTAGGACCCCTGTTCCGGGTTTACGGATTGAGTTATATGGTGCAGGACTTTAGGTCGCATTCGCGGTTCACGTTTTGGGATTCATCCGGAATATATATATATATATATATATACATATATATGTGTGTGTAAACATATATATATATATGTATATGACCATGTACAATACGTGTACCCGAATCGCTAATCCCTAGACGGCCCTAAACCCTAAACAATCCAAACCCCTAAAGCCTATACTCTAGACCCTAAACCCCTAAACCCTAAACCCTAAACCCCTAGACCCGACAACTCCTCTGATCCCAGGCTACCTCGGCTGGGAGCAGGAGTTCTTCGTGGTCAAAGCCGAGCTCTTTAAGGCTTTGAGTTTAGGGATTCGGGTATTAGGACTTAGGGTTTAGGATTTGAGGGTTTAGTCAAGGGTTTAAGTCTGAATTTGGGGTTTGGGATTTTGGGGCATGGTGTGGCTTGGGTTGTTTCGGGCCTAGGGCTCAGGGTTTGGGGTGTTGAATGCCTGGAGCTTCGTCAGCAGCGTAGCCTCAAGTACAACCTGCCAGCAGCTGCACAGTGCAAGGCCCGACACACCTAACCTAAACTCTTACAAACCCTAAAACCT